GCCGCTACTTGCGATAAGTGGATCTCGGACAACGATGCCTTCCGCCTGGCTGATTTATGACCGGCAGAAGAACGATCGGCTGTTAGCAGAATGTTTGAAGTGTTCCGTGTGAATCAAGTTTGTTCACAGAGTCCGCAGTTGTAAAAACGTCAGCGAGGCTTTCATAACCGGATCCAAGAACCTGAGAACATCAGCGTTCAAGGATCATGCTGGAACGGAGATGCATAAACGAGCAATGAATCGTTTCCACAGGCAAGAGTGTCCCGCTCGAAACGCCCTCGAATTCGCTCCAATTGCGAAGGCACTGTGGAAGATGGACGATGGTGCTGCCGCTATTGCACGACTCAAATTTGAACTGACTTACCTTCTCTGCAAGGAGCATATCGCGTTCGCAAAATTCGAGTCGTAATGTGTGAGATACGTCCACATAATGAGTCATTGTGAATATACTTCAGTACTACTAAAAAAATAGAAGAAGAAACACCCTGAAAATGTGTTGTGGAAAATGTCCGGGCATGTCCGGACAGATTTTGAAACGGAAGGACATATGTCCGAGCTAAATGAAATCCTTAAGCTATGCCCTGCGTAGCATGGCTTTCCTCTGGCTGACGCGAACCTGACGACAGCTTGGCTATGGAGAGTATGTTGGAAGGATTTTTCTCCGACGAAAAATAATCGTGTCTGCACTCAGCATTTCACTGAGATGTGCTATGAAAGAGATTTCCAACAAGAGTTTGCACAAAGCATTGGTGGCTATAAGCAGAAGCAGCAGCGACGCTTGAAGCCAGGGTCTCTGCCATCCTGAAACTTGGCGGTGCATGTCATACTAATAGTTAGTAGCTCCTCTACCTCTGCTGCCAGCAAAAGCAGACCATCTTCGATTTACTTCCAGGAACGTGAGCACGATGAGGTAAGTGAACGGCATGATTTTGTGCCGTCCAGAACGTAGCTCTAAACGACTACAGAGTACAGTCCTACTCAAAGTCCTCTACTCAAAATCCTAGTCAGTGAAGTCGAGAATTGATGTAATGTACATGGAACGTTATCATGTGTGTTATTTCGGTTCTCTTTATCTGTAAGTTTCCATTGCGTTACTTTCCGGTTGCAGCTACCATGGCTACACTGCCACAAATACAAGGTACAGTATGATTTGTAGTCTGGAAATTTTCCATGCTGTCATACTGAAGTGGGCACCAAAACGTGTCCACTTTTCGTACAATGGCATGAGAGCACGGGTACAGTCGGCATGTCTGTCCCACAATGCCAATATAGGGAGAGCGCACGCCAAAACCAAGGAGGGTGTGCTCAGGTACAGGCTGGAATACACCAAGAGCACAAAGTGGCCAAGAAGCTGCACGACAATGTCCTGCAAATTCTTGAAGGACCTGTTGAACGATGTGCATACAACCATTCTCGGCATTCGCAACGGCACACGGCACCGGCACAACCCCATGCTCCCGAACACAGTACAGTCGTGTGCCATTGTATCTGTCAACTTTACCAGATTGTTCATGCAGCTGCATTGGTGCAAAGCATGCGCCCACCCGAAAACACAAATATTGCCCGAGTCAAGAATAGTTATAAATCGTGTCTGTCAACTGTTTTCTACATTCTGCATGCACATGTACCAATGATCATGTGAACGTCAACCAGGCCAAGAAGCATTATCATCATCATCATCATCATCATCATGTCCAACTGCTTCCTCAAAGCCCCAGTGCGCATCTGCATTGGCTTCTGGTACAGCTGCTTTATCTTCGATGCCACGCAAGACGGTATCACACGCCGCTGCTTCCAAAGTATCCATGGGTGAACCATGTGTATTGTCTATACGCCACATGTCTCCAAATCCTGCACAAAACAGTTGGAGAGATGTAGATACACATACCACGAGTGTCTTCATGATTGCGTAAAAGTAAATAGTTTCGGATTCGAATTAATATTTCTATGGGCTACTATACTAAAGACACTTTGGCCTTTTTTCAAATTTACATCACTTTTACACACAGTTGAAACACTTACAGTGCTAGGAATAGTATGAATGAAAGACATCGTTGTACCAGTATAATTATATTGGCATGGGTGCAATAGAACTTCATGATTGTGTGATGGAAGTTGGTGAATTTGAATACTGTACACAAAATCATTGCACAACACTTCCCATCTACTTTGTACCGGTACATGAAACATGGAAAGAAAGGAAATAATGAAACCGATTCAGTGAATCCTCACCTGTTTGACCACGGTCCACACCTTGCCCGAAATTCTTCGAAGGAAAGCAATGCCACCTCGAGCACTGATTTTTGCAGGCAAACAACAGCAAACTCTGAGTGCTGCATGACGCACCGCAGCCCTTCCTGCTCGCCGCGTTTACTGAAAGCTGCAGGAACCTCCCAGCAACAAGTCGACTCGACCTCGCTCCACATCATGCTGCATTGTCCGCAACGGCATGAAGCAGTGCTTCTCACGCGAGCACTTGCAACCAAAGCGTTCTCTTCACGTTCATCTGTTTTGTAGTCTCAGAAATATTACTTGTAGACAGTTTCGCAGACGCTGATGCGCGCTTCGGCTCGAACCTAAAAGGCCTCGGTGTTGTTGAATCCGAAGTGGCGTCCACCTCCACACCTCCCGTGGTCTCCTCTTCCTCCAACATGATGATCGAATGAATACTAGTACAAGGGTTATTGATTGAAGAAAAAACAGTGAATACCTTTTTCAAAATTTCTGCAGGTCTACCATTTGAATAAAAAAATTTGGAGGTCACTGAGAACGTTTTACGTCACAGGGTGGGCGGGGGCCCCCTCGTGCCAAATATGGAAAATTGCAATTGGTAATTTAGGTATGTTATCCTTGTCGTAGAAGCTTCCGGTTTTCGCCATTCTACCACTTACGACATACTCTAATGGATTCCGCAATAAAAAATGGGGGTGATTTTGGACCGGAGTTCCCCTTTAAGCAATCCCAATGTACTCCCACTTCTCTGTACTTTGTTGTGCCCGCTACCGGGTATGTTAACCCCTGAGTGACAATGCTTTGCACACTACCTACCCATTGCAGACGGCTATGTTCTTTTGCCTCTTGTTGGCCGTTGCTTTCACAGGGGCTGATGGCAAGAATAACAATCCTGACGGCGGCGGCGTTGCTACTGGCAACAAGGGCAAGGACGGCAAGTCCAGCAGCTCTGTGGCCAGCGGCTATGTGCGTCAGTTGCTGGTCATGATTCTGCAGAGTGAGTTCGGCATGCAAGCCTAGCCATAGGATCCTCTACACTCATCCATGTATTGATTGATTTCTATAAAGGGATTGACCAAAGCTCCGGAAGCCTATCGAGGGGCTCTGTGGGAGGAAAGAGGAGGAAGAGAGGAAGAAAGGAAGGGAAATTTGTGCAATGGATGGCTTGGTTAACCCATTCTGCCGGGAGAAGGCGGGTATACCGGAAACAGAATACATACATGTAGAACTTGTATCTCTCTTATCCGAGCAGTCTAGGTCACCTGTTCTGAATGAGCACTTGAATCTGAATGTGCTGGAGTCACACTGGTTTCGGGGAACACCCACATTCGAAGTCTGCCTACGGCCCGGTATGCTTGGTGGATGAAACCTAGTGTTGTGTGTACATAGACTTGTATACAATGCTGATTGAAGCTTTTTGTTCCACCCAGGGTACTTGGTGTTGAAGTTACAACAGTTACCCTACTGGTGCAAACAAAAATCAAACAACAAAAACTCAGTACGCTATGCTCTGTCAGCTCTAGTTGCTCAAGGCAGTTGTGTGCTGTGCTTGATATCCTGATGGCCTCCTTGTGTTGTGTGTGTGTGTGTGTGTGTGTGCGTGCATGCTTTTAGCAAGCGACCATAAGAAGTATTTACGGGACAATGGCAAGGATCTGCTGGAGGTTGCGGATACAGGTTAGCTCATGGATGTGCCCTGGTGATTTCCTATGTCTGAAGTACATGCATGCGGTCAGGTTAGGTGCCGACATGTTATGCATCATCATCATCATCATCATCATCATCATCACCAGTCATATACCCTGATTTGCCGCTGTGTTGGAGTGCAAGGTATGTTGGGATTACATGATTATTGAGATGCCTGGGTGTTGTCTGTTGGTGCTGTATGTGTGTGTGTGTGTGTGTGTGTGTGTGTGTGTGTGTGTGTGTGTGCGTGTGTTTGTTTTTCAGCGGGTCGCCTTCAGGATGATTTGAAAGCATGGCTAGAGCCAGTTCGGTGTCTTCAAGATCCAGCAGCTGACCATATCACTGCGCTAGTCAATCTCGTACAGAGGTATGTTTGCTAGACAATCATATACATATTCCGTAGCACTGTACATGTATGTTTTGGTAGTGGGACAACTTGCCTCTCCTTTTCTCTGGGAAGTCTAAGAATAGAGGACGCTGTGACAAACTCGGCCGTTGCATGCAAGTAGCTATTTCCTCCATATCACTTGGTGCTCTCGGGCGACCTACGTTTTGCTTGCCCTTCATCGCCACCACCACGACCACCACCATCACCACCACCATCACCACCGCCACCACCACCACCACCACCACCATCACCACCGCCACCACCACCACCACCATCACCACCACCACCACCACCACCACCACCATAGCGAGGACGTTTCTGTTGAACATTGAAGACCTTTCAGACGAGGTGTTTTGTTCCTTCAGCAGATCACCAATGAATGTATTATGTTGTGCAATGGATGATTTGATAAGAATACCCGAGAGTGGGCTTTTTTCTTGAGGGGCGATTTCCTTGCGTGCCTTGCTAAGTACATGTATTTCGTTATTTCTGCCATGTTTCTTTTGAGCTCCTCTTCAGCTGTTTTTGTGTGCGCTCTTTTTCGCTATGTGCTATGTGCTGCGTAGCTCTGTGAATGACCTGACGTCAGTACACCTGTCCAGCTTGCCCACGATCATCAGCGCATTGCGTTTGCTACAGCACCTGTGCTGTCCACCAGCGAATGCTAGTGCAGGTATGTACATTGAGGTTATGCGATAACGTCAAATCCGCCATATATAGGAGCCAGTTGGGGTGGCAAAATGCCCAAAGCGCGTACAGAAACTCCTTATATTGAAGAATGTGGGGTGGCAAACGTACTATATGACGTGTATTGCGTAACTGGTTTCATACCTTAGTCATGTGACTAAATTTGTGTAGAAAGTGATCATGGCATGTGCACAGTGGACAGTGGAACCAACATGGCCGACATCACGTGATCCATAGATGCAGGGTTCAAGTGGAGTTGGAACCAACATGGCCGTCCCGAATGGTCATGTGATACAACTCTATATGTAGGCCTTGCTTGGTAGTCTACCAGGTATGATGATGCTAGCATAGCACAAAGCGGAGGACACGCTGGATGGAAAACAATGTTCCTGGCTGCAACCAGAGAACGGTCGCAAGACCGGACTCAACCAACCGGTCTCTGGTTGCAGTCAGGAACACTGTTTTTCATGCGGTGTGCCCTCCGCCTTTGCTATGCTATCATCATCATACCTGCTAGAGGTACATGTATGCATATATACAGTATGTGCACTGTGTTATCCGTCCACTGTGCGCAGTGTGCATAGTGCATGCAGCTCAGTGTGTCCACTATGGCAACCCAGTGCTTGCTGTGGCCTCGCTAATGAATACTTTCTGGTGTTGATCCTATAATTGTAGCTCATTGTGTTGATCCAACTCAGTGTGCTGTGCATGTGTGAGGTATGTGACATGTATGACAAAGCCTTGCAAAAGCCGCGCGGATGTGGCCATATGCTTGCTGGATTGTCGGTGTGTAATTACCTTGCTGAAACCGTTTATCTCCTTAGTTGCTCTCTCTCTCTCTCTCTCTCTCTCTCTCTCTCTCTCTCTCTCTCTCTCTCTCTCTCTCTCTCTCTCTCTCTCTCTCTCTCTCTCTCTCTCTCTCTCTCTCTCTCTCTCTCTCTCTCTCTCTCTCTCTCTCTCTCTCTCTCTCTCTCTCTCTCTCTCTCTCTCTCTCTCTCTCTCTCTCTCTCTCCTTTTGCTGACATTATTGTGTTTGTGGTGTTGTGATTGAATACACTGCAATATCTAGATGCGAAAGGCGAGCTGTGCTGGAAGTCCAGTTCTTTGTCTCTGCTGTCGGCCAATGCGGTTGATGTGTTCATCACTACTTGTCAGGTCAGTCTCAGCTGGTAGCCTGTGACGTGCAATGGATGATTCACTCTGCACACCGACTGCTGCTCCGATAGGATACGACATCCAGGGATATATAACACCATGATAGTTACAAGTGCATGTATAGTCAACCTCGCGAATAACAACACTATCTTCAGTCCAATCAAGCACTTGACTGCATATGTTTAACCTCGCGAATAACAACACTTTTCTTATTCCCGATCGAGGGTCGTTATTCGCAAGGTTGACTGTATTTAGAAGTGACGTGTTACACGCAGGGCGAGTTGCGGCAGCTAGAGAGAGAGAAGAGAGAGAGAGAGAGAGAGAGAGAGAGAGAGAGAGAGAGAGAGAGCTCTCGATGCGCCTATTGTAGATGCAGTGCTGTCTGATGATCGCTAACGTGTAAAACTCCGAGTTTCCCTTCTCTATACGTGTAGAAATGACATGTTATGCGCTGGTGTGTGTTGGGTAGCGTTGCATGATTACTTACATCACATCCTTTCCATACCAGTATGTTAAACTGCTCCATCAGCCTGGTAGACCATTGTGCAAGCCGTTTGTTGAAATACTTCATGTTCGCCTGCCATGATTTGATACTGTTTCGTGCAGAAACTCTGCGCCATCCAGGAGCCACTCTGGCTGCAGGGTCACCTTCTGTCACATCCGTCCTACTCGCACTTCCTCAGTGCTGCGTGTGCCCTGCTGACTGTGTTGTTGGAGCTTGTACGGCAACTGGGCACCACACAAACCATACTGGTACGTGCTCAGTTTAGTGAGGCTCCTCTTTAAAAATGTTCTTTCTGAGATAAGTCATTTATTTAATAGTTTATTGGTTTGAGGGAAAATTGCGAACGGTAGTTTCTGTAGTATCTTTGCTCATGAGCTTGTCACTTTGGTGAGTGCCTGTTGCGCAATGACGTAGTTTGCACCGTCGACACCCTATGTGGCCACCCGGGGATGGTTGTGTTGGGTATTGAACAATGCATCCCTGATCTCAGTGTACATGTACTCGCCTGCAATGCTCACACATTTCACGCTTGGCAATGCACAGTGGGCTTGTTAGTGTCTTGTGGCTGCTGCCAGGGATCGTGATTTGAATCTTTTGGTGTGTGCGCGTCCTTGTTTGCCATTTTCGTGTGTTCAGTTTTCAGATGTGCGCGTGGTCAATGTCATTGTTCAGCTGCACTCCATCATGTGCTGTGCTCAGCCAGCCTTGCTGTGTACCGCTGCCCAGCAGGTCAGTACACTCACACACACCCAGGGGCGTCGGAAGGTATTTTAGTGTGGTACGGTCAGCCATCTGAAGTACAATTTACTCGTGGGGGAGGGGGCGGCTGAGCCAAAAATTTTGGAAATTTCGAGCCCAGATTCGTGTATTTCATTGATTGACGGGGTACCTGGGGCAAAGAGTGGTAAGGTCAATACCGTATTGACCGTACCGTGTCCGACGCCCCTGCTCGCACACACACACACACGCACGCACACACCTGGTCCTGGTCCTGGTCCTGGTAAACACTGCCATTGCGGTCACGTGTCCCCTTGCGGGGCCGACAACAGGGAACGACGAGCGACGGCAGAAAGTCGGCAGTCTGCCGAGAGGTCAGGGACCATGTTCAATTGGCACGACGAGAGAGCCATCTCTGGCCGCTATGGATTTGGAAGCCACGAGTAGAGCGGCACGCACACACACACACACACACACACACACACACACACACACACACACACACACACACATACACAAACACACACACACACACACACACACACACACACATACACACACACATGTACACGCACGCACCGTGTTGATAAAGTGCATAATATTATGTTCTTTGGTTGTGACTCGATAGGTCCCGGTTGAGTAGAATCAGCAGCAGAAGAATTGAACAACAGTACTGTAGTAATATTTACTGTCATTTACTTAGCTTATGCCTGGTGCTGCGTTGGGCCTAGAAAATACGACTGTTTCTGCTATGCTAGGCTCGTTTTGAGTGTTGCTGGTTCTGCCGTTGATTTTTGTTGTGTGTGTGTATTTTACTTTGCTTTGCGTTACAGGTTCAGGTTTCGGTGGTTCAGATCTTGACCACCTTCACCAAGCTGCCTACAGCAGGCAGCACAGCAGCATCAGGTAAGCGAGCGCTGCTCTAGCCGCCCTTGGCCGTACCAGGCTCTTTGTCAACTGACTGTTGTCTTGCTTAGCATAGTAGGGAGGTTTAGTTCCCACGTAACGGAAAGGCGTACGTGGGTGATCCACGTAAAGTGGATGAAGGGCATCCACGTTGCAATGTTGTGTTTAGTCACACGGAACAAACAAAAGCATGAAGCGAAAGGCCCAAACCTGGTCAAAGACGAAGTTACCCGGGCCTATAAGAAGCTCATCGAATATTTTGATTTCGTGCTTCGGAAATTTCTTCAGCTGAGCACCCTCACAGCTCGCAAAATGCGCTCCATTCTGATTTTCACCCACGTTCTGGCGGAACGTGGGTGAGCCTCCATACACGGTATGTCGTGAATCAGAAAACGTCTGTACGTGGGTCACTGAGTATCATGTGGTACACACACGTAAAGTACCCACGGATTACGTGGGACTAAACCTCCCTAATGTGATAACCAGGGAGTAGTAACAAATCTGACAACTCGCGTTCAGGTACGTGTAACACGTACAGTGTAGGTGGACTTGCAGTTTGCCCCCCCCCCCCCCAACGATTTTTGTTTAACGACTTCAAAAACCTTTTGAGATAACCCCTAAAATATGGTTTTAGTACTCCCTGGTGATAACGTTTTGCAGCTGTAGTCACACCATGCTGATTGCTGTTGGGATTGTTTTGCAGTTGGCGTCTCATCATCAATGTGACCAGCTCTTGTATTCACACCCAATGTGGAATGTCCACAGTCGAGACGGTCTGTCGGCTGAGCTTGGTCTGCCCCACTGGCGCAGTCACCTTGTGTGGCCCCTACCATTAGATGTCCCTGCTCTTTTCTGCTTCTTTCCTTCATAATTTATAGGTAGGACTATGCTTGATGTAAACATGGAAGTAAATCAGAAAATTCACAGAGACCCAGTCGAGGTCTGATGGTTGGATTTCACCTCCATCGCCTCATGATTTGCCCGTTTATCCGCTTCCTTTCTCCCAATACTCTTGTCTCTCTCTCTCTCTCTCTCTCTCTCTCTCTCTCTCTCTCTCTCTCTCTCTCTCTCTCTCTCTCTCTCTCTCTCTCTCTCTCTCTCTCTCTCTCTCTCTCTCTCTCTCTCTCTCTCTCTCTCTCTCTCTCTCTCTCTCTCTCTCTCTCTCTCTCTGTGTCTTCTTCTTTCCTTGTTGTGCTTGTTTGCCTGCCGCAGCACCAGACAGAAGTCCATGGTACATGATGCTGGATGCGTTGCTAAAGTTCACGGAAAAGTCCCCTCAGGTTTGTTATTGTAATACTTCGAAGTACAAGGATATCACAATCATGGATTATTGAAAATAAACAGTATGCGACAAGATACGGAATATATTGTTCATGTTGGATGGAAAACCCGAAGCCGTCCTCAGCTGGCATTCTAGTATTTGTATTTGTATTTATGGATTCTTCACGGACCTCAGCCTTAATCCAGGGAGTCTTCGTTTAGCCACAAGTGTGGCGTGCTGGGGAAGCATGAAAGGAAGATGAACCTTCAAGGCACTGCACGGTTTGTCAACGTCGTTCATGAAACCTTTGTGCAGCTTGCTGGCTTGCAAAGATAGTTCACATCGGCACGGGTACTTTCACCTTCCTGCTCAGAGAATGGGCTTAGCTCAACTCCGCAAACAACCGGTCGAAACCATCTCCGCTGCAAAAATCATGTTCTGCGTGGAAATTGAGATTCCTTTCGGAAGTACAGTGCTCAGAGCAGTATTTGTAACTAGCTTCAAGTCATGATGTAAATGCGTGTCACCCCCCCCCCCCCCCTGCCATGCTGTGAAACACTCTTGTCACAGGTTGCTGCTCTAACTTCTTGAGACTTCTTCCCAGGCAGAGCGCCACGGTCCTCAGTCGTTCTCTCTTTCCCAGCACCGCTGTTCGATTATTTCGGTCGGACAGATTGTCCGTTCAAGTAAAAAAAAGCGCCGGATTTGAATCGAAAATGGTCGGAAAATGTCCGGTGTCCGACCGTTATCGTGTTCCCTGGTATGTGTGTGTGTGTGTATTGTGTGCTGTGTGTTACAGTGTATCGTGTTCCCTGGTGTGTATTGTGTGCTATGTCTTCTCTTGTGTAGAACATCATTGGTGGTCTGGTGTTGCTGTCGGAGCTGCTGCCTCTTCCCCTGCCTATTTCGGTGAGTAGTGAATGAAGGCTTGTCGAGTTTATTGCTGTACTTGTACTTGCCTGCCTGGTGTGTTGCTGTACTTACCTGTCTGGTGTGTTGCTGTACTTGCCTGTCTGGTGTGTTGCTGTACTTGCCTGTCTGGTGTGTTGCTGTACTTGCCTGTCTGGCGTGTTGCTGTACTTGCCTGTCTGGTGTGTTGCTGTACTTGCCTGCCTGGTGTGTTGCTGTACTTGCCTGCCTGGTGTGTTGCTGTACTTGCCTGTCTGGTGTGTTGCTGTACTTGCCTGTCTGGTGTGTTGCTGTACTTGCCTGTCTGGCGTGTTGCTGTACTTGCCTGCCTGGTGTGTTGCTGTACTTGCCTGCCTGGTGTGTTGCTGTACTTGCCTGTCTGGTGTGTGGCTGTACTTGCCTGTCTGGTGTGTTGCTGTACTTGCCTGTCTGGTGTGTTGCTGTACTTGCCTGTCTGGTGTGTTGCTGTACTTGCCTGTCTGGTGTGTTGCTGTACTTGCCTATCTGGTTTGTTGCTGTACTTGCCTATCTGGTGTGTTACGCTCTGGTTCTAAGTAGGGATGGATTACCAGTATGAACTTGGGGTGAAAAGAGTGTTTGAGCTTTCAGAGCGTTCCCGCAAGTTAAAGAGCAGAATATTCATTCATTTTTTGCTATATGGCGTCGAGCTCCATGTTTAACCCCTGCTTCGACCTTAATGTATGTAGAATGAGAAGAAACTTGGTGCTTCTCAGCCTGGAGTTGCACAGCATAGTTAGCGATTTTCGATGGGACCATTTACAAGTATGCGATGTCTAGATAGGTAGTCTATGCAGACCTGTTGTTATGGTAACGGTGGGTATAGCCCGGTATAGTATAGGGTCGTACCCTAAAATAACGTTTGTTTGAGTTTGTTGGTTTGCACTAAAGAGTGCTCGATTGGGAAATGCGAGCTTGTTCACCCTTTTACGAACTGGGGGCAGATTTAAGTCGAGCAGTTGTAGTGATTTTTGTTATGATACCACTTTGGCATGTTGTACATGGTGGCAGGGACATTTTGTATATTGTATTTTATTATTTTACTTGGGCATTCCCAACAGACCCATCATGTCATTCTCTATACGCCGCCTTTTTTCCTTCTTTGAGAATTTTAAATGGGTTCCTTGCACTACACGTGTTACATGTAGTGTATAACGTCAACACTAGTTTGAGTGTGGAACAACTGTGACTTTTTTTGTTCCAACTGATGACAATCACAAGAAAACGTTCTTGGAATTCAGTCCACCCAACAACTTTGCCTTGATGTGTGAATAGAATGAGTGCGCGGCTGATCATTTTTATTACTACTTTCATTGTTGTTTTCTTGGTATGCGTAGGGTGCCAGTCAATCGGTTGTGGAGGAAATTCTGACTCGGCGGCAGCTCTGGAGTGCACAGCTTGGCCTGCACTCGATGCGACTGCGACAGCTGATTTCTAAACTGTCTGGTATGGTGTGCTTCACCTGTGTGTGTGTGTGTGTGTGTGTGTGTGTGTGTGTGTGTGTGTGCGTGCGTTGTATGCGTGTGTGTGTGTGTGTGCGCGCGTGTGTGTCCCATATGGTGCAGTGGTATGTGCAGTGATTTCCAATCGAGAGGTTGCAAGTTCGATTCCCGACAACTATGGTCACACACGTCTTTCTTCTCTTTCTTAGACTCCTCCTGACTTTTCTTTCATTCTCCTGGATGGTTACCAACAGCCAGTGCATGTCGGCGTATGTGGTGTGATGTGTGTGTGGGAAAAAATTGAAAGAAGACCGAAAAGTAGGGATTGACTGGCCGGAAAAAGCTTCATAGCTGTGTGGTGTAGACCAGGCTGAATACTGGCGGTCAATTCTTCAGCCTTGCAAGCTGTTGAATGGTGCAATCCCAGCACAAGTTGCTATGGCTTCTGTTGTAGCATCGCTATCATCGCCTCTGCCGATGGGCGTCAAATGGTCAAATGGTGTGTGTGTGTGTGTGTGTGTGTGTGTGTGTGTGTGTGTGTGTGTGTGTGTGTGTGTGTGTGTGTTTGTCGCAGATACGAGTTGCGGTGCCCTGGCACAACAGCTTCGACGTGTGTCCTGCCAGCTAGCGGATATCGACAGCAGCATGGCACTGGTAGTGGTACGGCCATTGCTGGAAGTTCTTCTGCCGCCAAGCCCATCTACCGGGTAGGTCTCGACTTCTCACTTCTCGGGGTTTCTTTCATGCCTTTTTGACTATGTATTGGAGCTACCAAGCACTGTCATTGATTTGATTTGATCAGTTTCCTCAACACATGATTTTGCTACGGTGGTGTTGATGGTGAGTGAAATGCGGACCGATGTACGCATGCAGTGCTGATGACCGCTCACATCAATGTCCTGAGCTATCTCTAGCACGCGTGCATGTTATAATAATTATAACGTGCATGCGTGCTAGAGATGATAATTATAATCTATTTATTATAATTATTATAGATGATGTCATCATACTCAAGTCTGTGGACAGCAACTGTTTCGCTCTGTTAGAGCTCATCAGCACAGCTCAGAGGACCGAAGCGCAGCTCTTCGCAATGAAAATAATACGTTTCCGTAAAGCAAAGCATTTTTATAAAGAGCTGCAAACCCCGCCAAGAGTGATCGAAATGCTCCAAGAGCAGTGAGCGTTGCACATATATATATAGTTTGAGCACTCTGGCAAGGTACGTTCGGGCCTGATTGGAAATTTTTATTTCCATTGCTATCAGGTTCGGCCTCATTTTCTCTGTGCTGCGCTGATGAGTTCAAAAAGAACGAAACAGCATGCTGTCCGCAGATTGAGTATATATATATATATATCTGCTGGGATGACGATGCTGGGATCTGCTGGGATGACGACTACACCATAGCTCAGTGGTTAGAGCATCGCTGGCTACAAGCGAGGGTCCCTGGTTCGAGTCCTGGTGGTGACAGTCAATTTTTTCTTCAGACTTTTCCCGTTTGTCTCTTTCCCTCAAACCAGTCAATATATATATATATATATATATGATATCATCGAAATGGACTTGTGGCTATTCAAGTGTACATTAGCCTGGATTTCGCTTGCTGTAGTTGTACGTGTCAACTTGTTTGAGCTGTGGAGCAGAACGCCCTTCTTCACGCTGCTCAAGGCAGACACGGTTGAGCTGGGTAGTGCGCGTAAACAAGCGGAGTGTGTTGCTGTCTGTGTGTTTGTGTGTGTGTGCGCTCGTGTGTGTGTGTGCGCTCGTGTGTGTGTGCGCTCGTGTGTGTGTGCGCTCGTGTGTGCCCGTGTGTGTGTGTGCTCGTGCGTGTGCTCGTGCATGTGTGCTTGTAACGTGTAGAAACTGGCAACCCAGCAGCCGTGTGCTAACACCGCTGGCATCTCTCCTCTCTCAGCCGAGCATCAAAGCGGCTGCCTTGTACGCACTGCGGTGAGTTGCTATTTATACTGTCAGAATGTGGGTTTCAATGAGCACCGTTTCTTCAGTACATCGTCCAAGGCCTGGAATTCTCACTGCACAACCTATTGAGTTTCTCTATTAATTTTTTCACACAGAGGCAGTAGGCTTAGGTTCTGCGAAAGTGCCCAATACCTGATTCAGGCAGAGCGGCATACACAAAGGCACACAATGAAAACCTTGGGCAAATTCCGTTGTGACTCAGAGTTGCATGGCTGAACCGATCATCAGGCGACGATTGTTTGATGTTTGGTTCAGCCATGAAACTCTGAGTCACGACGGAATTTGCCCAAGGTTTTCGTTGTGTGCCTTTGTGTCTATTAATCTTGTCATCGTTTTGGACTGTAACCTGTACATACGTGCTAAGGCAGTGTCCGCTGCTTGAACACTGCTCATTGCACTGGGTGCAGAGCCGTTACACTCACACACGGACGACAAAACCCCACTCAGGACTAGGCAGCCACTCTAAACGTTTCATGACTATGTCATTCTTGATGAACTCATCAGTACTTGCGAAATCAGGACAAGCATGCCATGGCAACATGTATTGACTTACAGTAAAACCTGTCAAGGCGACCACTCTGATAAGGCGACCACCTGTCCTAGAAGACCACTGCAACCAGGACTAAGGGATGCTATTTCCAGTCAATTGGCCCTGGATAAGGCGACCACCTGGCAACAGAGACCACATTTTGAAGGTCCCTTGAGCGGTCGTCTTAGACAGCTGTTTCACTGTACTTCAAGAAAGTTGATTGCTTGCAACATTCGAGCTTGCTTTCCCCGTCGCCTTGGCGTGGCACTTGACTGTCTCTGCCTCCAAGAGTACATGAAAACCAGAGTGTGCAGCTTGGGGCCTTTTCTGCTATGGGTGTCTGTCACGGCGAAATTCCGTGATTACATCATATTTGGCCCAGATCTGAGGCGGGAAATGGCGTAGTGCGTACAACTGAGCTGCAGTTGTGCAGAAAGAGGCCTGCTTGAATCCTGCTTGTACGCACTACATCACTAAAATGATGTAATCACGGAATTTCGCCGTGACAGCAACCCATCCGAGCTGCACACTCTGGTTTTCATGTACTCTTGCTGCCTCTAATCCGTGGACTAACTTCAACTTCAAGTATTTATCATACCGGTATTGCTTTGCTATTCCTGTGTCTATGCTGGTGTTGGTGTTGGTGTTGGTGTTTGTTATGTATCCATATCGACAAGAGTACATAACCCAAGAGTGTGCAACTCCAGCTATGGGGTCTGCGACGGCAGAACTTCACATCACGTGATGAACCCGTGCACTCTAGTGCATGATAGATACTGGGTTGTACGCAGCCCAGCTTTGGGTACAACTCTCTTGTGGTCACTTTGCACTGTTTGCCAGCATAACCTTTTGAACCATGTCACGTGATGTGAAGTTCTGCCGTCGCAGCACAGCATAGAGGTTGTGCAGGCAGTTGCACACTCTTGGTTATGTACTCTTGATATCGATAAAGTCTCAGTCCGAACACAATGGACAAGCAGTAGATTTACAAGACGTTCATTCTTCAAGGAAAGTGAAAAGGACCATGACCACCTGCACGCATGCTCCAGATATCCTACTAGTAGACTAAGTCATAATATGTGTGCTCTTGTGACGAATATGTAGTGACGTAACAGTGTTTGTTGGTTGCTGTGCTTTGTGCAGTGTTGATGAGACGTCGTCAGCGATCATCAACTCACTCATCACCCAGTTCAGTGATGCGTCATCGTCATCCACTAACAGCGATGTCAGCCAGTTGGCAGTGGTGAGCTGCAGCGTGTTTGTTGCTGCTTTGCTGCAACAGGGATCTGCCCTGTCTAGTGCTTTGTACGCTGCTTGACTGCCAGTGCTTGACTTGTGCAAAACGAAACAGATCATGCACGTATTCACACGAGTCTAATTGTCATGGCATGTGTTTGTACAATGTTCTGTCACCTCGTCTTGTCGTTGCTTGTGTGTGTGTGTGTGCGCGTGTGTGTGCGCGTGTGTGTGTGTACGTGCGTGTGCACGTTTGTGTTGCAGTCCATCTTGCAGGCGTTGCTTGACCCGCTAACACTGACCAGCAATACCACTGGCAAGCTTAGCTTACAACAGGTGAGAGCCACTACAGGGAAATCCCCTCATTTTGAACCTCCAAATCTGGAACAAGACATCTATTATCTAGCAGCAGAAGATGCAGGTACATAGTTTGGCAATGTAAAGTTTGGCAAACTGCCGGAAACACAGATGTCTGACGATTGCTTGGGCGTGAAACTTTACGTCACAACAGATTCCAATTGGACCCTCACTCTTTCATCTGTGTGTTGTATAGGTTTGTCCTTAGAAGCCCTTTTTTGTAAGGCGAGCATTTAAATTAATGGGGCTGTTGCTGTGCAGTATAGTAGTCCTGGATGGTGATATTCTTCCCTGTGAGTAAAAATCACACCGGGTCATGCACGCTCCAAGCACAACTAGTCCATCAGCCAAGAACTCAGAAGTCGTCAAATTCAAGCACCCTGTTGCACTTAGAAATCGAATACTTGATTTTGGCCTCAATGGGGAGTTTAGGTACCCTGTACACCGAATCCGCAAATAAAAAGAGTAAACGACTTGCACGCTCTGCAAGGGGAAGCCGACAAAGTGACCATTTTTGGCATTTCATCGACAGCCATTGTTGTGACCTAAACCCAATCTCCAATCAGTGCCATGCGCGTTTCAGGAATGAACTTTCAGATTTTTGTGAATTACGGGACAAATCTTGCAAATCGAGAAGATTTGCAGTGTAAACCATTGCAGTTTCCGTATTACACGTGTGCCTGGATTCAAATTACAATAAAATTGTTGTTCGCCTACGTGTAGAGTGTTGTTCCGTTACACATCTCTTTCACTGTTCTATTTAATTGAGCATCCGAATACATACCTTCAGGAAGATTACAATGAGCTAGTATTGAACATCATCCACCTTCGGGTTTCCGAAGTATGCACCCCGAGTCATGTCAAGCAGGTTTGAAGCGTAGTTTTTACTGTTTGGCAAAAGTGATCTACGCTTCCACCCTGAATGGAATCACCCCGGGAAGGTCCTGATCCCTGGAAAAATAAGGAACGTGGAGAGCTAAAAGTAAGGAATCTGCGGCGATGGATGTTGTACATCGAGTGAATGCCCTGCAGTTCTCTTCTCCATTACGACCAACTAGCAAACGCCATGGCTCTGGATGCTGACAGCAAACAGTTGAAATAAAGGCAAGGCTGCTTTGAACATGTTGCAACCAGGTAGTAGTACAGTTACAGTTGTACTACTTCGAAGTACTATCTACCACACCAAGAGTACTGGTTTATGTACTCTTGACCACACTCGAGATCACCCAAAGAATAAAGCGATTGAATTCAAAATCAAAAAAATTGTTGGGGATCGTCTGAAGCATATTCAAGCGAGGTACAGTCGGGCTTGATGACTGATCAAAGCCCTCGGGCTGGTCCCTTGGGCTTTGATCAGCCATCAATCCCTCTGTACCTCGCTTGATTATCTTCTTCATACCATTGTAGTTGCAAACAAGTAACTACAACAATTGCAGTACAATAGTCATGTAGTTTTTTGAATTAGTTATTTGAAAATGGAGAGCATCTTCATCTTCTTCCCGGTGCGCATGTACACATATTTTTCGAATCTGTACGTGCTCCAAGCCAACTCACCTCTGCTCAAATCGACGGCGATTTATTTCGCGATTTTAGGTCGATCGCCACGGAAAACCACACCAACCGTTGACAAAACTCCACGTTTTTCACAGAAGACGCATTGGATGTCATGATAAAACGGATGGAAAACCTCGTAATGGTTGATGAAGAAGAAGAAATTTGTCGAACTTCCAAGGCGCACTGCAAAAGGAGTGCAAGAGTTTCGCCAGGGAAAGTAGGCAGGTCGGATTCAGTGATGCTTTTGCTGTCGATTGATGTCAGTTCCAGGTGTTCGATTTGTAAGTGCAACAGGGGACTCACTTTGGCACCACTGGCTGATGGACTAAACAGTGCGTTTCAAAAATATAGACGCGTGATTTCAAAAAAACCGTTAGGCCAGCATCTATACCCCATATATAATCTGAGATCACTTTGTGCGTTTGCTATCCGATCGCTTAGAATCTAAATGAGAGTAATTGCGGGGAGGACCTGAGCAATATTCCGAAAAAATTCTCAAAAAGCTTCAGCCAAATTTGAAATATTTATTTCAAAAATACCATGCGTCTATATTTTTGAAATGGACCTTACTGATACCAGGCTGTGTACTTGAGTGCGCTGGCACTACATTCATTGTCGGGGCAAATTTCACTGTCTATCACTATAGTGGCATCCAGTTTAGCAGTTGGCTGCTCGGCACGCAGTACAGTGTTGGTTTTAAGTACCCTCTACATACTATCGCATGCCATCTTGTCCGTCATGAACTCACATGCTGGTGTGAATTCACCGCATGTGGGAGCGAGTCGACCAGACACGCTTGCCGTTCGAACGAGCAGTGAAGTCTGCTACAGTGCTGCATTTTGGATGAACCCCTCTGCCCAATCTTAAAGTCCTCTGAGTGTTAAAGGGGAAGTTAAGGCAAACATCAAAATTTCACCAGTTGTAGTCTTCGGGGTGCTGAGTCGAATGGTCTTGGTCCGAGGAAGCTGAGACGCTCCCTTCCTACTTTAATCCCAATCGAACTCGCGCACTTCCACCGAAACTGGGTGACTGTGCCCTACTAGATGGGGATTTGTATGCAAAATGTCACTAAAAGCGCCATTTCGTTCTTATAAAAGCACGGGTGACCGCGATTGGCCCATATGTTGTAGTCTTTTGGACGCTGAGTCGACTGGTTTTGGTCCGAAAAGGCTGCGATGCAGCGTTCGGCCCTTATTCCCAATCGAACATGGTTGAACAAGCGGTCACGTGCTCCTGCGTACACCAGTCACCTGGTCACCGTGCCTACAGGGTACAACTTACTAGCGTGTTTGACCTTTTTTGGGTGCAGTCCTGTCACTCGAGTTGAACTCGAGTTGAACCTTGGTGTGAAAGTTGTCACCTGCTGGCGCGGTGACCAGGTGATTTGGGCCCCCAGGAGCACGTGACCGCTTGTTCAACCATGTTCGATTGGGAATAAAGGAGGAGCGCTGCATCGCAGCCTTTTCGGACCAAAACCAGTCGACTCGGCTTCCAAAAGACTACAACATATGGGCCAATCGCGGTCATCCGTGCTTTTATAAGGCCACACGTTTTTATTTCTATGTTTCTCGTCACCCGCGCGCATACGATTCAGGAGTCTGGAAGAAAAAAAGAAAGAAAAAACTGTGCTGCACTGACTGTGCATGTGGGGACCAGCACACTCATGCACATGTACATAATGTGGCCTGGCCTGCGCGACACATGATGCAAGAAGGCATCTTTTGTGCGCAATGTAGCTGCACATGCTCAGATTGTGACAGAAGCTCCTACCACATACTAGTTGCTAACTATGGATGCTATTTTTGCATTGTGTATTGGTGGATTTTAGTGTGAACAAAGGTCTAATAAACTTCTTTTTTTCGGTCATTTTTATTTTTTTCCACCTCTCACTTACGTTTTTAGATTTTCAGGTGACGAGAAACATAGAAATAAAAACGTGTGGCCTAAGAACGAAATGGGGCTTTTAGTGACATTTTGCATACAAATCCCCATCTAGTAGGGCGCAGTCACCTAGTTTCGGTGGAAGTGCGCGAGTTCGATTGGGATCAAAGTAGGAAGGGAGCGTCTCAGCTTCCTCGGACCACAACCATTCGACTCAGCACCCCGAAGACTACAACTGGTGAAATTTTGATTTTTGCCTTAACTTCCCCTTTAAACTGAGAAATGTGTCATGATGTGTCACATTTTCAAGTAGATATGTTTCAATAGGTGTGTTGATGATTTTTGTTTCAACGGGTGTTGTGTTGTTTGTTTGCAGCTTGCGAATAGCTTGCCACCACTGGACATTGCAGTGCAGATCCTCAACCGTCTGCAGGAGCATCTGGCCACGGCGCATGCATCCTATGCCACCATCCTGTCCGTCCTACGGTTGCACACGATGTGGGTACAGCATGAGCCCCTTCTGGCCATTCTCTACAGGTATGCTGGCTGGCAATGATGG